TGAGGATGAGGATGAGGATGAGGATGAGGATGAGGATGAGGATGAGGATGAGGATGAGGATGAGGATGAGGATGAGGATGAGGACGAGGATGCGGGTGAGGATGAGGATGAGGATGAGGATGATGGAGGAGGTGGAGGAGGAGGAGGAGGAGGAGGAGGAGGAGGAGGAGGAGGAGGAGGAGGAGGAGGAGGAGTGGCCTTCAGGGCTGTCCGCGCCGAGGCCGCAGTCAGCGATCAGGGCTCTTCGTGGCAGGACCCCCCCCTTCGCCCGAGCGATGGAGCTTCCGGGCGCGGTCAGCGGTGACGAGCTGCTGGAGGCGGGCGCCGCGCTGGACCCCCGCGGGGCATCGCGGCCGCCGGCGGGCGGGCGCCGGGCGGCCTCCCTGGCGCTGGGGGCGCTGGCGGCGGTGGCGCTGACTGCGGCGGCCGCGGCGCGGTGGGCGCGGCCCGCGGCCAGAGGTCGACCAGACGCAAGAGTGACCGGCCTTGAGCCAGAGTTACGTCGGGCGTGTCCCTCTACAGGAGGAAAAGTCAAGGAATTGATTGGGGGAAGATTTTTTGTTTTTTGAATCTCTTTTTGGTTATTTTTTGGGGCACTGTTCTGTGCTCCCATTTTTCGCCCAGAATCCGCCTGTAGGGGGACATGCGCACGACCTAACGCCAGAGTGACCTCCCGGTGCGGGCCCAGTGGGGCCCCCCTGGCGCCGAGCGCGAAGCGTTGGCAGCTGCCCAGCGTGCCTGGGCGGGGCCAACCCGCGTCCCCCGTTGAGCCGCGCGCCAGAGGCCGCTCTCGCCTGGGGTCACGCTTGCGTGTAGCCGACGAAGGAGGGGGCCTCGCCGCCGGGGGAGTCGTCACCCTGCAGGACCGGGAGCTGAGACGGGGGTCAATGCAAACGGGGTCAGCCAGAGCGCCCGGTCTTGCAGGATCCTGCAGGGCCAGGGTCGCATTGACCCGGGTTTGGGTGCAGGGTCCTGCAGGATCTTGCAGGATCCTCCGCATTGACGCGGGTTTGGGTGCAGGCTCTTGCAGGATCCTGCAGGATTCTGCAAGGTCTGGCTGACCTGGGTCTGGGTTGACCCGGGTCAGAAGATCCCCAACAGGAGTCGAATCTGTGCCTAAGGCGGGCCGGAACGGCATAGCGTTTTTTCGTGGCAATATGCTTGTGCTGCGATGCGCCTTTTCGCCTTTGTGTTCCAGGAACGGTCGCCCAAGACAGCAGGGGTTTAGAGTTTAGACGTGTCGTCAAAGGGCGGGGGGGGGCGTTTTTTGTTCTTGTGTGTGTGTGTGTGTGTGTTTGTGTGTGTGTGTGTATGTTCGTGCGTGCGTGCGTGCGTGCGTGCGTGCGTGCGTGCGTGCGTGCGTGCGTGCGTGTGTGTGTGTGTGTGTGTGTGTGTGTGTGTGTGTGTGTTTCAAGCGGCCGACACGCACGCAGGTCCCACGTGTTTCGAACGTGAGTTCCCCCAGTTTATCAACACGCACATGTTCAGATACACCCCGCAGTTTCCGACTTGGCATAAGAGACCGCCGGAGGGCCGCGTGGAGGTTTCTCGGACCTGTGCTGGCCTCCCCTGGTGACGCCGCCCCTGGCGCGCTCCGCGCGCCAGGGGGGACGGGGGTCCCGACGCCGTCCCCAGGAGTCCGCGCGAGCGTCCAGCTGGAGGGAAAAACATAGACATAATTCATCGTCGATTCCCAAAGAAACATATGGGAAAGTATGGGAAGTGGGGGGGAAGACGAAAACCTAGAAAATGATAGAAAATATGGGGAATCCTGGGATTTGTGTGTATTTGTTTGTGTGTCGCTGGGCCCCGTCAGTCCAGAAGCTCATGCGTGTGCAGTTTGCTCACTCGGCCACTGGCGCCCCGTGCGACGAACGCGGCCAGGATCCTCGTCGCTGCGACCTGAGCAGATCAGGAGGTGCAAATGGACACAGGCACAGATAAGCGTGGCTTGCCAGGCGCATATTGGGAACTATTGAAGGTAGAGGGGAAGACGACAGTACAGAAGGCGTGCGACAATCCGGGGAAGCCAGGGAGTTGTGCACGTTTATCTGTGCCCTCCCGGGCCCTCTTCGAAACAAACGCGTGCAGTTCCCATCACCCTTGCAAGCATCAGGCCAGACGAAAGGGTAGGATAGGGAACGGGGGAGTTACGAAATTTGCTGCATGCAGCTGGCTTCGGGCCCGCCGCTGGGCCCATTCCTTGATATACATGGGCGCCTCCCGTTGCCAGGAGGCGCCATGCACGCCAGCTACCCGTCGGTCGTTGAACATCAGTTTCTTTGGATGCCCAGATCCCAATCTGCTTCAGCCGCTTTCTACTTCAAAAGCGGAGTGGTCTTCCTTCTTCCCTCGTCCTCAGGGGGCGGGCGGAAACCCAATCCACTTGCAACGCCTTCCTGCTGCATGGTTCTAGCTACTTCCGACCGGCGGGTACGTCAGCTGATTCTCTACTCTGCCCTTTGCTACTCGGCGGCGAGCGAGGGGGGGAAGTGAGAAGGAGAATGCCTTCTCAGAAGGCGGCGGGACTGCTGAGAAGCCTTCGCCCCTTCTCAGAAGTTTTTTATGTTTTCGGGGGAGGCTCAGCAAACCTCTCGGAAGGCCGGGGGACTTCCAGGCCTTCTTAGAAGGCCTTCTCCTTCTCACTTCCCCCCTTCGCTCGGCGCCAAGCTGCCCTGCCCTTTCGCTCCCCGATCTTTGCCGCCCCTTCCGAGGAGGAGGAGGGTGAGGGCGCGGGCGGGGACGACGGCGCGCCCGCCGCTTGCGCCCCGCTGGACGGCGAGTGCACGCAGTCCAAGTGCTGCGCCGACGGGGGAGGCCGCTAGGAAAGGGGCGCGGTGTGACCTCAGGGGGTCTTCAGTTTTGCCTCGGAACAAACTCGCGCCTCCTCCTCCTCCTCCTCCGGCTCTTCCTCCTCCTCCTCCTCCTCCTCCTCCTGCTGCTCCTCCTGCTGCTCCTCCTGGTTCTCCTCGTGGTCGTTATCGTAGTCGTCGTCGTCGTCGCCGTCGTCGTCGGTCGGACCAAGGTATAAGATCGAGGTCGGTTCGCGGAGGGTACCGTAATGCTCTTCGTGTTTGTTGGATGTTCTTGTGCAGCCTGGGGGAGGGTACCTTCGAAGAATCTTCAGTGTGGCGTGCGGAGGGCCTCATGTTCTTGAAGGATGGCCTTTGTCCTGGGTCCGGCCGTAAAAGGGGCGTGGTGTCGCTGCTGAATCTGGCAATGTTCTCTTTCGTCGATGGCATCGCTATCTCCACGATTGGCACCACACCACTTCGTGCCCCCCCGATTTCCGACCTCCAAAGAGGCAGCGGCTACCAGTGCTACGCAAAGAACGGCGAGCAAAAAACTGCGCAAACCTACACTCTCGGAGTCCGCGCGGCTTTTCTGGATCTGCGCTGGGCCCCCCCCCTTCGATCGGCGGCGCGCAGAGGGGGGTAGGGGGAGCGAGGAAGACTTCTTAGAAGCACCCCTGCTTCTTAGAAGGCGCGGGCCTTGTCTGTAGATGTAGGGATATAGGGCTGTAAAAAGCCTTCCCCCTCCTCCTCCCCCCGTGTGCGCGCCGCCAAGGCGGCGCCTCAGGCGCCGCCCCTGACGCGCTCCACGCGTTAGGGAAGGGGCCCCACGCGGACTGTCGACAGTTTATGTTTATGCCGTTGTTTGTTCTTCGAAAAGAACGACGACTGGGCGGTGTGCCTGGAGAGCTGCCAGGAGGGCGCGCACGAGGACGAGACGGATGGCGAGTACGACCAGTACGGCCAGTTCCAGAAGTTCGAGTGGAGCTGCAAGAAGCTCGGAGACCGCTCCCTGCCAGCGTGCGGCAGCTTCGAGTCCAAGAAGAAGTGCGACCCGGCACGATGCACGTGGACCGGGGAAGCTTGCAGGGAGACGTGTTCCCTGTTCGCTTCTGCGGAGGAGTGCAGTACGGACAGCTGCACCTGGGACGAAGCGTGTATTGACGCCTGCAGCACCTTCGGCAACGCCTCGGCCTGCCCGAGCGAGCGCTGTGAGTGGTTGGGGGACTCGTGCGTCAAGGCGTGCTGGAAGATGTCCCCCGACAGCTGCGACGATTCCCGCTGTATCCTCGGTGACGAAGGCTGCCAGGTCGACCCCTGCTCTGCGCCTGGGGAGGACTGCTCGAAGACGAAGTGCTGCAGCGCAGATCGCGGCGGGCAGGGCATGACCTGCTTCAAGAAGGATAGCACCTGGGCGAGCTGCAGCGAAGAGTGTGTCAAGGAAGGGGGCCCAGACGGCAGCAAGTGGAGCTGCGCACAGTTGGGCAACCGGACGCCGATGTCGGTCTCGTGCGCTTGGGGGGGGGATGACTGCAGCAAGACGAAGTGCTGCGCCAACGACGGGTTCACCTGCATCAAAAAGGACGAGCTCTTCAGCGGCTGCCAGCAGACGACTGCAAAGACCACTTGGGTCACCAAACAGGTCGACAGGATCGGGGATGAGGAGCAGGAGGAGGAGAAAGGGATCAGGAGGATCCATGATCGGGGAGGAGGATGAGCAATTGGAGCAGGAGGGAGGAGGAGGAGGAGGAGGAGGAGGAGCAGGAGCAGGAGGAGGAGGAGGAGGAGGAGGAGCAGGAGGAGGAGGCGGAGGAGGAGGGGAGGAGGAGGGAGAGGAGCAGGAGGGAGGAGGAGGAAGGAGGAGGAGGAGGAGGCCAGCCGACGGCCGCAAAGACCACCTGGGTAACCAAGCAGGTCGAGGTCCCCGCCGACTGGGACGGCACCGTGCTCGGCTACGGCCACGGCGAGAGCCAGTGCAGACAGGCCGGCGAGGGAGAGGCGGTGGCGGGCACGTCGCTGTACTGCTTCGTGGCGATCATCCCCGACTCGTCCGAGGCGGAGCTCATGCAGGTCTCGACGAGGAAACGCGCCATAGGCATAAATCTTTGGCGCTCCGCGCGGACCTCTTGGATCCGCGCCGGGGCCCTCCAGCGGCGCCTCCGGCGCCGCCCCTGGCGCGCTCCGCGCGCCAGGGAGGGGGGTCTGGCGCAGAGCCAAGAAATCTGCGCGGAGCGCCAAAAGTTTGTGTTTATGGCGTTTTTTCTTTTTCTAAGGTAGCCGAGCAGCGCAATGCGGGCATGTACGCCTGTGATGCGCATGACCTGTTTCACTCCTGGGAGTCCGGCAGCGCCGGCTGGGACACCGGCGAGTCCACTCTGGTGAACACCGACGTGTTCATAAAGATCTTCAGCCAGGTGAAGGAGAAAGGCACCTTCCTGAAGCACGACTGGACAATCAAGGCGGACGCGGACTGCGTCTTCGTACCCGAGCGGGTCCGCGGGCAGATCAGCTCGTTCAACCCACCAGCCAGCACCTCCATATACCTCAAGAACAACGGTCAGGACCCAGACCTGGGAAACCACGGTTTCTTGGGCGCGATCGAGATCTTCTCGAGGAAGGCCATGCAGATGTATTTCGACAACGCCGAAGGCTGCGAGAAGTTCTTCGGGCTTGGCTGCGGCGAGGACGGCTTCTTCAAGGGCTGCATGGACGCGCTGGAGGTGTGCTTCGTACCCGCATACGACATGCATGACGCTTCGCGCGAGCACTGCTGGACACGTGCTCTGCCTCACTGCTGCCCCCCACCCCCCCTGCGCCGCTCCTGAGGCTTCTCGCGGCCCTCTCGGCACGGGGCCCAAAATATACACCACCACCACCTCCCTCGCCTCGGCGTCACCCCGACATACTTGTACTATATGCGCGTCGCCCCCTCAGGGGTGACGCGCGCACCGAGAAATCTTATAGTATATGCGTCGTGGCGGGCGCTTTCTGGCCACACCGCTCGGGAAACGCTATACTACAATACGGGTATACTATATGATCGGGTCTGACGCGCACCTCCAAGGGGAACATCTCGTATTAGTATGTTTCTGTGCGTCCCATCGCCCCCTCCTCCTCCCAGGGAGGAGGCGAGGACGAGGAGGGCAGAGAAGGGAGGAGGCGAGGAGGCGGAGGAGGAGGAGGAGGAGGAGGAGGAGGAGGAGGAGGAGGAGGAGGAGGTAGGGGAGGAGGAGGAGGAGGAGGAGGAGTGGAGAAGGAGGAGAAGGAGGGAGGAGGAGGAGGGGAGGAGGAGGGGGAGGGAGGGGCCCCCTCCTCCCAGGGAGGAGGCGAGGTAGAGGAGGGCAGAGGAGGGAGCAGGAACCCACGTGGCGGTGGCGTGTACTCCCAGTGCCCGCCTTCGGCGGCCACACTCCGGGCCCCGCCTGTGCGCGTCCCGGGCCTCTCCCCAGGGGGGGGGCGGGGGGCATCTTGCGTCGAGTCGGGCCTGTCCCTCTACAGGGGGAATATTCAAAACTATGGAAAATTCCGGGGACCATGTTTGACAATGCATGAGTGTGTCTTGAGCATTTTAGGGGGGGTATTTTTTCATAATTCTTCGTCGGGAATCCGCCTGTGGGGGGACATGCCCGACCCAATTCTTGCGCGCCGCCTCGGCCCCCCCGGCTGCCGCTCTCTCTCGGCCCATGTTGCCGCTCCCAGACAACGACGGCGCCTTCTTGGCCCACCCAGCTCAGGCTAAGCCCAGGTTTGCTCCTGCGGGTGTCTTGAGGGTATGGTAGGTTCGCGTCGTATCGACCAGGAGCGTCCTCCCTCCTCGTCCCCTCCTCCTCCTCCTCCTCCTCCTCCTCCTCCTCCTCCTCCGTCTCCTCCCTCTCCCCCTCCTCTTCCTTCTCCTCCTCCTCCTCCTCCTCCTCCTCCTCCTCCTGCCGGCGATCCAGTTTCGGTCGATGTGGAATGATCTGACGCTCCAGAAAAGCGGCCGATCGCTCGAGGTTGAACGATCCCCACGGTGTCCGAAACCGTCGCCCGGGTCGTCACGCCACGAGCTTTTGGAGGGTGGAAGAGGGGATCTGCAACAGGGGGTCTTCAATGGGGGCTGAATGGCCCATGTATGCTCAATGTATCGCTCATGTATGTGATCGGGAACGATTGGCATCCAATGTTGGCGGTCATGGAGGGCTAGTCGTTCGTGCCCGCGCGTTGCCCGCGTGGGCACACGCGCCGTCCATCCATTATCGTTCATGCGTGCGGGCGTTCTTGCATTCTGCGCGTGGGGTTGCGAAGTGGGGTGCAAGTGTGTCTTGATTTTGCGATTGATGATCGCGTATGTTCCCAAACAGTGAACTATCGACCCCCAAGACAGATTTGGAATGGGTCCCGCGACTCTCCCAAAATTTGAATTCACATGTTCCTTTCCCCAAAATGTATGCACATTTTCCTTTTTCCCAAAATGTGAATTAACATTCTGGCCCTTTCATACAGATTCCTACACACATTTCCAACATGTGAGTTCACATTTCCTTTTTCCCAGAATGTGAAATCACATTTTCCTTTCTCCTAAAATGTGAATTCACATTTTGCTTTTCCCCACAATGTGAATTCACATCTTGCCCTGGCCATCAAGATCCCCAAACCTAAGGCGCAGTGTTCCGCATGCCAGACTGGCTGGGCAGATTTTGACACTCACCTCACCGCTTTCGTTTATTTCAACCTTGTTTTTTGGGGCCCTCAGCGCACGTTGCCTTCGTCGCCTTTCCCGAGCCCCCCGCCCTTTTGCTTCGTTTGCCCTCAAGTCTCTTGCGTGGGTGCAGGCGGGGAACTCAAATTCTTGACGCTTCGCGTATCCCCACCAGCCTCCGTAGCCTTGGCTCAAGCCGTCTCGGCTCGAGCCCGCCCCTGCACAGGTTCGCGCCGGGCCGGCCTCGCGATGGCCTCGCCCCCCTCGGGCGCCGCCCTGCGGCGGCGGCAGCGCCTGGCCGCCGCCGCGCGCGCCGGGCTGCCGCCTGCTGCGGCCGTGGCCGCTCCCGCCGCCGCCGCCGCCGCTGCCTCCACCTGGGAGGCCGGCGCGCGGGAGGCGGCGGAGCCTGGCGGCGGCGGCGGCGGCCGGCGGCGAGCCTCGCCGTCGCCGTCGCTGCCCTCCCCCTGTGGGCTGGCGCCTGGGCGGCTGGAGGCTGCCGGCGGCGCCCCTGCCGCCACTGCCGCCGCCGCCGCGGCCGCCGCCGCCTCCGCTGCTGCCGCCTCTGCTTCCCCCGGCGGCGGCGGCGGCCGGCGGGCGCCGCGGCCGGCGTTGGGGCTGCCTTCGCGGCGGCCGCTGCCGCCGCTGCTGCCGCCGCCGGCGGCGCCTCGGCCGCCCCGGCGGGCACCTGCGCCTCAGCCGCCGCCGCGCTGCCGCCGCCGCCGCCTCCGCTGCCGCCGCCACCGGCCTCCCCCCGGCGGCGGCGGCGGCCAGCGGCGCCGCGGCGGCGCCGCGCGCTGCCTTCGCGGCGGCTGCCGCTGCTGCCGCGCCGCCCCGCGCCGGCCCCCCGCCGGCGGCGGCGGCGACAGGCGGCGGCGCGACCAGCCCGCTGCCAGCCCGCGCCAGCCCCACGGCCAGCCCCACAGGCAGCCCCCCAGCCAGCCCCGGCGGCGCCGCGGCTCGCGGCCGCCGCGGCCGCCGCGGCCGCTGGCGCGGCGGCGGCGGCGGCGGCCGCCACGGCCGCCCCCACGGCCGGCGGCGGCGCGGCCGCTGGCGCAGCTGCCGCGGCGGCCACCGCTGCGGCCCGTGGCGAGCAGCCGCAGCAGCAGGGCAGCAGCAGCAGCAGCAGCAGCAGGGCAGCAGCAGCCGCAGCAGCCGCTGCAGCAGGGCAGCAGCAGCAGCAGCCGCAGCAGCAGGGCTGCAGCAGCTGCAGCAGCAGCAACAGCCACAGCTGCAGCAGCAGCAGCAGCAGCAGCAGCAGCAGCAGCAGCAGCGGCAGTAGCAGCAGCAGCAGCAGCGGCAAGAGCACCCCGCAGCTGCAGCAGCAGCGTCGCCCCCCTCTGGGAGCCGCGGAATATCCCACTCAGAGCAATCAGTCCGTCATTGGTTCTGACGAGCTGTTGTCGGACGTGCCGTGCATCTCGATGGAATTGACCATCCCTTCCCCCTGCAAGGGGTCAGACCGTGAGTGCGGTGCTCCAGCCGTAGGTTCCACCCAGCCCCCAGAGGCCGAGAAGGGGGCTCCCGTCGGGAACCAAGAGGCGTCCTTGGACGAGGCATCTGGAGAGAGTCAATTCGCGCCCATGGAAGTGGAATGCGCTGGCCACCCACCAAGGGGGCAGGCAACCAGACCCCCCCCCTGCAGCGACGGGTGACTCACCTCGGAGTCCGCTAGGCGACGACGGAAGAGCGGGCTCCGAGCAGACAGCACTGGTCCAGAGTCCCGTCCTCCCTCGTCCTCCTTCAATGCTTCTGTCCAGCAGTGCCAGCAGGACAGAGGAAAGGAGTGGGAAGTCAAGGCGGAGACGGCGGAGGCTGCGGAAGCCGCGGGATATCCCCATTAGAGCAATCAGTGCGTCGGCAGTCCTCTGGGAGCGCCGCGCGCCCAGCAGGGAGACCGCGGAACAACCGTCCAGACGCAGGACAGCGAAGCCATCCGCTGGCTTGTCGGGAGAAACCCCTTTGCGCTTATTCGCCCCCCTTCCGCTGTCGGTGAGCTCCTTATGGGCGGCGAACCCCGGGCGCCCTCGCCAGGCGCCCAGGGCGCCACTGGCGAAGCAGCTCGCGCCCCGGCTGTGGAAGTTGTGCCGCAGTGCGTGCACGCGCCCGGCACAACCAGTGGCGCCCCAGAGAACGGAGAGAATCGCGCGCTGTCCAAAGGGGGCGCGCCTGGGAGCGACAGCGGGCACAGGCCCGGAGGCGAACGCCAGCGAAAGGGGCCCTTCCCCGCGTGCCACAAGGCCGCGTCTGCCCTGGCCGCTGGACGCGTCGGCCAGAGCCCAAGGACCCCGACGCGGGACACTTGTTGTACAAAACAGGAATCAACAGCGTCCGGTGGGATCTCCCTGGGGAGACACCCAGCGAGGCGATGCGACGGTTCCAGGTCGCGCTGGGGCCAACGTTCACTGGCACCTGGCACGCTTTCGCCAAGCGGCAGTCTGTGCCTGGCAGCAAGGGCGCGCTCGACCCGCTTTGGCACGACCCGCAAAGCTGCCACCTCTTCCTGGAATCCTTCCGCAGCCACAAGTGCGACGTTCGGGCCCTCAGCGAAGCGCTGGGCCTCGACGTCGACTGGACTCGGCCGTGGCAGCTGCATCTGGCTCCGAGCGGCGGAGCGAGCAGTGGTCACCCGAACAAGCAGGCCCCCCAGGAAGCACGGGAAACAGTGGTGGGCCGTCTCCCCACTGTAGCCTTGCTGCCCCCTCGTGGCATCCCTGCGAGTTGCTGCCATGGTATGTGTTTCGACTTCTGTTTCGTTCAGAACTTATACTTCTTTCTCTTGGCTGTTGTCTACGTGCTGCGCGTGTGGCTTTACCGTCGGCATCAGTCCTTTTCGTCTCTGTCTGCGTGCTGCGCGTGTGGCTATGCCGTGGACAGTCAGATTTTCTACTCTGAGATCCACCTTCTCTTTTGACTACGAGTTGTACACCGTACTCATCAGCGCGATTGGGTTTCTCATACATCCTCCATGTTGGTTCTGATTGGTTGTTGTCGGACGTGCCGTGCTTCTCCATCGGAGGAAGCACGCTGTGAGGGTGACGAATTGACAGGCCCCCCCGGGGCGGAAGATACGCGCATCCCGAGTATGTCGGAGGAAACACGC